TAGGCCACACGTAAACGATGGTATTGCTGTTAGGCACGAGGAAATGGCACACAGCCCTCTCGCTTGCTCACGAACACGGATCCCTGCGTTGTAGCCAGCGTAATCGTCAAAACATACACACAACTCCGTCTAGGGCGGTGAAGAATGGGATGCCACATGTGGAGCTAAGAGGGTCACGCGAACTTTTTCTTTTTTTTTTATCAATCATTTTCTCCGGATATTTCTTCTTGAGGATGTTTTTCGTTTGCGCTCAATTGATATGGAAATATATGCACTTAAATCGGGGTGCTTGACTTTCTGGAAAATCTGTCTCACAGTGTCTCACATGACTGCTGTGAAAAATGTACGTATATATACATTTGAGTGTCCCTTTAGTACCATTAGATTTTGGAAACTGGCCTATTTTTGCGAATCCAGTCGGTAACGTCCAGTGAGTCAATGATGGTGCAGGAGTAATTGCTGGGAAATAAAATAGTGGGATGTACAGAGTTAAAGTCTGTTATAAATTTATGAACGCATTCGCTTCGATTGGATTCTGTAAATAGACTGTGCGCAAAGAACAGACATTACGCACACATTATGCACACAGGGTGATGTGCTGACCCATATATCAAAGCTGTACAGCACGATATCCCTCAAGCGTACAAACTACAAAGGCCATTTCACCACAATCTTTCACTGTATCCTCACTCACTCACTCACTCAGTCATCCCCTTGCAATAATACCTCCAACCAATGATGCAAAAATAATAATACCTCCTTGGAAAGAAATACCTCTTAGGTAATCAACCTTCAGGTTGGCGGTGAGCTAACGCTCTGTTGAAGTAGAACTTGGTTCCAGGCAAATTCACTATTTGAATCTGTCTGGTTGGTTACCTATGAAATGATTCTGACTGAGACATTCAAAGTGCAATCACACAAAACCCTTCGTATGAAACTATGCAGACCATTGGGCTGTCATTCGTGTGACCAGTTCTAAGCCAGTAGCAAAAATTGTAGTTGCAGGTTTTTACATAATGGTTGAGAAAAACACTGAAGGACATAAGCGAGTTTTTCACGTGAGATCTTCGGCTACTGACACGAGCGTGCGCAAACAGGCTCAGACATACATGCGGCATCAGCCTCCGAGTTTAGAGCATAGGACTGGACATGAAGTCGTAGTTTTTGTGCTAAAGACGAACGCAGGAGGAAAGACAAGACAGGTGCACTCGTGTGTTCATCTTTGGAGTGAAAATCACGATTTAATGTACTCACCAACTGGCCCAACAACAAGGTCATGTTTCCAGGCCCCACCGGGGTGCAGATCTGCGGCATGTTACGATTAGTGATCTACGAAGGGCACATAGAAGACCAATGAACCTTATTGTGCCATAGCGCCAGTCACTTGTACCACCGCATCCATTCACTCACTGTTCTACAATGCAGCATAAGCCGCCTTTTTTGGACATAGACGCGTTTAGAACGTGAGGCGTCGTCAGCTTACAGATATTTCAGTCTCACCTTTTCAGTTGCTCTCAAATGTCCTTTCTTGGTGGCCACGCCGTGAGCTATTTAGTGCCAACAGCACATGCGTGCCGGTCGAATTGGCTCCGCGAGAATCGGATGCGCATCAAGGCGGATCAAGGCGCACGTGCTCGCCGCCGATGGTGGCTTTAGTAAAACGAAAGAAGTGCGTATGCGTGCTGCCTATTGTAAACCCATATGCCTCCTCGCTTTCCTATAGAGAGGCGTCCGTACTCTCCACGTGTCTGTGAATCGCGCGGCCGAGGGCGGTGTACAAGCGCAAGGTCAACGTTACCGGTCCGTGCTCGTTTGCTGTCCGCTGCTGAATAAAGAAATTTAAATTGGTTTTTCCACGATGTTATCTCACAGGAAACGACGACCCGTGTCTCCAAATAGATCTTTCGCAAGGACAGCTATGTTGGTGCGTCGGAAGAGAATATCGTCGTTTCCATACGAACCGTCGCGACACTCTTCATACGGCTCTATAGCACTGAACCATATGATGGGTGTTTGGCCGGTGTTAAGTTTGCATGGAAGTGGAGATGTGGAGACAATATCGCACATACTAGCGGGAACAAATGGCCGTGGTTTGACTGTTCCGACTAGAATGACTGTCTCGCAAGTCATGTATAGTTATGCAAAGTAGTCGGAGACTTGCTCTCTGTTGGCTTGACGGCTTAGGCATTCTATCTGGTGATCAGGGCTGTAAACTTTTTTGAACAACATAATATTTCTTTGTGACAGATACAAAATGTAGACTTAAATGCGTACTGTACTTTCGCAGTTTTTAATGTGCCCTTATGTGCGGGCACCCCTCGTATGAATATGCGCAGCACATTTTTCATGATCCCAAATATCTCATAGTTCTACAGCAAAAGCTGTCATTGCCACAAAAAAAAGGTAAACAATGAAAAGAAAAAGGCTACATGTTTTTGTTTTATTTTGGTTTGCCCATCATCTGGGAATGCGAGGGCCTTCGGCTACCCAGAGAGCTTCATCTATAGCTCCCTTAGAGACGGCATGGGAGACCACTGTTCCCCGAAGAAAAACTGCAACAGACAGTAATCTCCTGGGTGGTAGACGTTTCAGCAGACAAACGGCAAAATCGAAACTCCTGAAATTTCTTTTCACTGAAACTATATCCTCCTTCTCATTATGTTTGATTTCATGCCACCGCAACATTGGGCCCTAATTTGGCTAATGCCATACGACTTTCTTTCTGCTGGAACTGCCAGCCCCGACTTTTTCCTGCTCATAAGTTGATATAAATTTTCACAATATTTCTACTGTGAATTTTATTTTTCACGTGATTACTAAATGTATATGTTGTTTTCACGACGATGTCAGTTTTTTGTGCAATTTAGAATTGTACTAGTGTCTGTTTGTGCCACACAACATAACTCTCTTTCATGCCGATACTCCTCAGTCATGTATCTCGGCTGCGGCAGCTGCATTTCTGGTGGAGGCAGAAATGATGTAGGCCCGTGTGCTAAGATTTGGGTACACATTAAAAAACCCCAGGTGGTCTAAATTTCAGGATCTCTCCACTACGGCATCTCTCATAATCATACGGTGGTTTTTGACGTTGAAGCCCACATATAAATCAATCAATTAATCATGTATCTAAAAGGCTAAATAATTGATCTGCGCGTGTGTCTTTGTGTGTGTGTGCGCACGTGTGCGCAAACACACACAAGTACCTACGGGAGGTTCCCGCAGTGCAAATTCGTAGCCCACAACTTTCTAGAGGCGTGCGCGAAGCACAGTGCCTTCATTCAGTTGCAGACATTGTCAGGCATGAAACAATCATCAAGATGTACCTTTCTGCGGACACACTGTCACACCGCTCTACTTCTATCTGCACAGCTAACGTTTTCACCGTAGCATCCCAACGCAGCACCGACGATAACGCAAATAGATGATCCACCCTTACGTAATGATGAGTTCATTGACTTTTGCTTCTTTAAAGCAAAGCTTTATGCGGCTCTTATTGTTCTTTTCATCTGCGATGTCTACCTCTTGTAGCCGTAGAATACGAACTAGCCCACTACGTGTGTGTAATTGGGAATATGTTTAGTTTGCTATGTGAACAATCTTGGTCGGTGAATTGGTGCCACTTGGCATACAGGTGTCCGAATGGGCAAGCAGGGAAGATGTTAGCGAAATTGAAGAAGTTAGCTGCAGAGAATGCGAGAGATTGGAAACAGAAGCAGACGAGTGCGAGGAAAGATGTAGATGGAACAAAATCGGGCGAGCACGTGCATTAAGCTATACATAGAAGCGAAGCAAACTGACGCCAAATATTCTATAAACAGATGAAAAATAATTAGTAAGCGATTCCCGCATATGTGCAGGACTCAGTATGGGGGCATCCACGTTTTTTTTTCTGAGGGTGCCTGGCGGAGTCAATTACGCTATGAGACACCCTTGGGATATAATCCTGACAAGTGCGGAAGAAACACATCGCAACATGTAAATTTTAAAACAGAAATGCAGAGCCTTGACTTTGTATAATGGCAAAGACAGACGCGCGAACACGGACATACGACGAAGCGAGGCCCTGACTTTTTTTTTGCTTTTTTTTGTTCGGTATTGCAGAGGCGCTTTTCAATTATATGAACCACTATATCAACTTGACCACTTTGACAAGGCTCTAATTCATGCGCGATAACTTAAACAGACTTACATAGGAGCACCTAGAAGTGATAAAAGGTGCTATCAGTGTTGATGTACGAGGAAAAAAATACTTCGCTCCAAAAATTCATGAGAGAAAAGCAAAGAGGTATTTTTTTTTAATAAATGCTGCTAAACGTGGCTTCTCATTGTGGCGATGACATTAACACGCCGTGCGTTTTTTCAACTTATTGGTTTTCCTCTAACCGCCATAACGTGAAGAAAAGCTTATTTTAAAGCTTCTATTAGCACTCTGAGAAAGTTGTTCTCAAGCATAAAGAGAAAACAAAGCGCCACTCGAGTAATTCATGGACACTGTATTCTCAAGTCAAATACAACAGGCTGCCTCTGTTTAGATTAGAAAAAGAAGAAAAAGATGATGAAGCAAAGTGGGATAAGCGACATGAATGGTATTGAACCAAAACACCGATTGTCACCGGGTAGTGCCGAAGCAATGTCGACACAACCATGGGGACGGCTGCCTAGTGGCAATGTGTAAGTTTAGTGCTTCGAGCACGACGCGGACGACGAGCTGTGCGACAGAGCATAGCAGTGGAAAGTTTGAGGAAGGCCGTTTGTTCAGGCCACGCTCAGATAGCCGACGTGTCTCGTTTCTTCAGCAGCGGGTTTCAGTGGTCCAGTTGGAGACGGTGTCCGGGTCCGTGACGCGGGTCACGTTGCAGCCGCGAAGCAGCGGAGGTGGCACTCTCGCTGCGGATGGGGGCTTCCATCTTGGAGTTGCGCCGCACAGCCGCCATTGGCTGGCCGCGCAGAAGGTCATCTTCTCTCTCGCCATGCCGAACGAGCGCGGCATATAAGGGAGCCGACGGAGCGCCGACGTGTTTGTTTCGGAGAGCAACTTGCCCAGCCAGTCTTGTCCCTTCGTAATTACTCTCGTCGCTAGTTGGAAGCCCAGACGCAAGCGAAATCAGCGCAGCGTCTCCAGCTGCCTGACTGCTTGCCGTTCTCTTCGTTCCCCTCCTTGAGCCACCTGTTGATCCTACTGAGTTCCCGGCCGTTAGCCGCTGACTGATCCCACGGAGACAACGGAGGTTCGGATGCGCAGCCAAGCCGTCGTCTTTGCAGTCATTGACCAGCTGCTGGAGACCATTCTCACTCGGCGTGGGAGCCGTTTGGGGAACAGTGGGAACGTGCTGGAGCTACAAGTGCTCACACAGTTGCACCACGTTCCTTGAGGTGAGCCACACGCTGGAGTTTTATGTGTAACTACAGCCATACAGTGATCGAGCGTCGAATAATCTGAGGATGCCCAATTCGACCGGCGTTTCTTGTGGCTGACACTTGTAGCCACCCGCTTTCGTTGTTGTTGTTTAGTATATTTTGAGATAGTTACTTCAGAGGTTTTCTGCGCAAGGCCTCTCTCATCGAAGGAAATAAACTCAGATTACTCTAACTTTTCCTTTGCCATATACAATGCAGTTTGGGACATTCTGTCCATTTACCATGATGTTGTTGACAAATAACTGGGCTTAGGACGCACTATGCATAACTGGCCGTCGAGAGCAAATGCAGCTGACACCAGAAGCCTGTAGAATTAGCACGTCGTGTCCGAATACCGCAGGCCCCGTTTGAGAACACTCCGGCTTATTCTTAGAAACATAGGATAACCGGTTCGCTCCACATCTTAAAGTAAGTGAGAGAGGCAAGTAAACAGCCACGAGCGTACAGCGGGACAGCTGAGCCCAACCACCTCGTGTAACCTCGTGTAGATAAGCATTAGAACAGGCCCGGCTTATCTTCGGCGTTCTATTTACGCAGAGCGCATCGGTGGCTCAACCGGTGCCGGTTGGTTCACGCCGGCGGTATAGCAACGACCGGACCACTCTCCGCCGCTTACGATATCGTCCCGAAACCTGAACGAAAAATCCGGTCTTGCGCGGCTGTTTAGAAAATAATGAAACGCACAGCGCGAGCAAAACGACCTTGTTGCACTGGCACGGCGGCAGGATAGCGTCTCGAGCCGACTCGAGGTGCCTTAACAGAACAGATTCGATCAGCATGGAGCTGTTTTTTATGATTCTTTGTTTATATATGTGCACACAAGTTAGGAACACGCGAAGTGTTGGTTTCTTTGCCACAGGACTTGTTATTGATATGCATGCTATATATTTCCTGCACAATTAAGAAATCTTCTTGACTCAAGCCTCACTTTCTGTTAGTACGAAAAGCATTGTTGTCAAGCCTATAATGTCGTTCAGCCCATCATCATTTTGTGTTAATGCATTAATACTTCTTCAGGATGAGGTGGTGATGCGCAAAAGGTTGCGAACAGACCAAAGGAGTGCACACGAGCGCCGCCGAAACTATGAATTAAGGATTTTCGTTGCGATGACCAACTTTAAATTTGTTGTGTCAACAAAAATCCCGAGTGTGTAGTTTCCGCGAGGTTCGCCTGTACTTCTTTCATGGGTTAGTGTCTTTTTAACTAATCACCACTCTAGGATGAATTGCCACATCGTCAACATTCCGCCAATCTGCAGTTCTTCAGCCTTCACATTTTGTACTTAACATCCATTTAACGAATTATTTCTGACACAGCTAACGTTTCCAATATAAACTTACAATATAAAGAATCGGGGAGAAGGACAAACCATCGTGATTACGTAGCTGCTGCAACAGCAGGCTCAAACACTTGGCCATGTTTGTGCCTGATTCTGCGGATTTGGTTTTACCTGAGCTCTGATGGCAAGATCGGTTGCATTTGTTTTGCTTCTAGAGAGATTTTGCATTCTTTATCCTTAAATAGTCAATTTGAGAATACATTATTTTTGCGAAGGCCTTAGTTGCCTGAGTAGCCTATTTACAAAAATTGTTTAATCTCTGTGTCCATGTTTGTTTCTGCTGAGGATCATGTATCAGACATATAGTTTTACTGAAAGAAGAAAAATCTAAAAAAAAATCACAGCAAATCCGCGGAGTGAATGATTATGAGTGGGGCGAAGCGTCCGTCAGCCCGTCCATGCTTCTATCCGTCCAATCGTTCTTCTTTTCGTCCGTCCGCGCGACCATCCATGCGTACATATATGCATCCATCCGTCTGTCCGTGCGCCCATCCGTGCGTCCGTCTAGTGCACACTCCAAATACCACCATGTCACATTTCGCATCCCCTGTGGCACATACCCGCTCCGCGTGTCCGTCCGTCCGTTCGTCTACTAGTCTGTCTGTCCGTCCGTGCATCTATGAACACTCGAAGTACCGCCATCTCCCATCCCCTGTGGCACATACCCGCTCTAGAGTGGGTATGTGCCACCGGTGGCTACGTACCCAAACGGAGGAAGGACAGACCCACATCCTAAGGAGCTTCGCCCCTAAAAAAAGAGGATATGGGAGAAAAGAGGTTTAACGACATAAGAGTAGCTGCAATCCTATTCGCATGATATATTAACCGGCTGATAAACTATATGACTTGAGTAGTGAGTGACACCATCAAACCAGATTCGCGACTCTTTTTGCAGTGAACGTGGGGGCTTATACTTCGGTAGCATGGTCCTCTTAGGCAAAGCAGGCAGTTAGCCGGATGATGTCGCTAAGATAGAAAGTGTACACTTTCTTGGGAAGTATGTGTGGTGTACCGCCGGTGGCTTTCTCGACATCAGTGAATGCTCGACATCCAGCATGACGCAAATGAGAGTAGTGTAATGTATCCATAACTTTACGTCATCGTAAAGCACATTATTCGTGGCCTGTTTCTTTTATTTTCTTTCTTTACTGGAGTTTTTACGGAAAGGATTAACAATATTAAGGATAGGGCATGGGTTCCACGATCAGCTTTCAAGCTACGCCTGTGAATTAGAATTTGCTCAATGCGCGTGTGTGCTAAACTTACATTAACTTCATTCGTTTTGCTTATCATCAATATTGTAAAGACTGCGTTGCAGGTGCCTTTCCTCTGTGAACGGGTTATTTACACGTACCACGTGATATGTAACTAATAAACGTCATAAAATGGGCACCCTGAAGCCATGACTTCACATGGGAACGACGAGCCTGCGTCGCAGCTGGCATGTCGTCATGGCGTGACACCCGCATGGCGAGTCAGCCGCGCTTGTGGCGTGAATCACGTATGTGCATCTCGTTTCCAGCAGCTGCCTGCCACTTTAAAGGTTTCGTGCATTTACGACTCTCGGTAGTTTGCGCACCGCGTTTAGGGCCGACAGTCTTGTGCGCCGTTAGCTTTTCTCTGCATGACGCGACCCAGTGTTTGCAGGGCCGTCGAGCGAACCACCTCACGAGATTTCCTCCTCACGTGTTTCCTTGCAGAATTGGCCCCGCCTAGAAGCCTAGGAATATTTGCCTTCTGTGAAGGCCACCTTCGAACAACCATCCTCAGCTGTGCCACAGCGCTCGAAAGCTTCCCCGCCCGGACACCAGAGCAGAGGGAAAGATGCGTCCCGGTGAAACTGTTGCGATCCCTGCCAGGTACGTAACCCCTCTAATCGTTGAACCGAGTGGAACTACGTTGCTGACAAAATGACTTGCAAAGAACCAAAGGCAGAAATAGTCTTAACCAATGAGGTTGTGCACTTCCATTTTGGGTTTTGTATCGCTTAGTGATTGACTGTCTATATTGCAGTACCTACTAAATGAGAATCTCATGCTGTCTCAACAAGCATCGCTACATTGGGTAAACAAAACCTGTGGGAGCGACATAGGGATTACACACATGTGCTCGCAGAGAATGCTGTTACGCTAATTATGTGAAACCCCACACTGACAGGAGGTGCTGAACGAAATGAGTTTGTGCTCATTAGGCTTCAGGACTAATGCGAGCTTGCATGCTTAAAGTGCCGGCTGCATTTATGCACTACTCAAAAAAGGGTGCCGTAAAATACTATTCAGTCTTTCATATACCGGTGAGGGCTTGGGTTTGGTCTCCCTTGACGCCAACGTCGCTCCTGTCTATGCAGGAAGATGACCCTGGACACTGACAGCCAGAAGGGCTTCAAGGCATTCAGCAAGGATCCGCAGCCGTCGTTCAAGAGCAATTACAGCAACGACCAGAAGAACCAGCAGACGAAGAATGACCAGCGGAATCCCTGGGGCCCCACATTCAGGGACCGCCAGCACTTTATCGACATGCACTTCAACTAGCACCGACAAAGTCGCTCTTGGCTTTCTGCTGCGGCTGCGATTCTGATTGATTCGCCACGGGACGCTTTCACCATATACAAGAGTAAATCTGTGTGGGGAGGCTTCGACACTGCTGCGCACCTGGAGATGGTTGCTTCTTATTTAGTTTACTTCCTATTTACAAATTTACACAAGTCCTTTTGGAATCTTCGTTTTTAGGTGCTTATTGAATCGCTATGAAGAAAAGAATAATAATGCTTTAAATGCCGCGTAAATAAAAAAAGCGGCGAATACTCACTATACCTGTGTCTTGTCATTGTGTCCTTTCTCTTACGTGCGCAACATCTTAAGCCAGATGCCATAGAATGAATGGGTTTCAACTCAATGGGTCCGCACTGAACTATTTTTTCTCGTACTGCAGATCTATGAGCAGATGACGGTGGTATGCTGGATGCATACGGAGCGATCAGCTAATTTATCCCGCTACAGTTCCTCTTTAACCTGGAACACGGGCAATGTGATCATGCATTCTACATCTCCATTTGCACCATTGTCCATGTACCTACGAGCCGTACAGATGTAAGACAGCTGTTGAACAGAACGAATTCTTGCACACACAAAAAAGTCGCAGGATACACAATCAACCTGCGAGATGCTGTGACAAGGGACGCGAAGCTACAGCTACGAGGTCGCCTGACTATGTCCTTACGCATAAAAACACGTTTTATTATTAAATAAATTATATACATAGACGAAGATGAAAAGCATCAGGCAAGGCATCTTTGAATTCCTCCAACGGATCACGTTGTATTCCGCAAAAAACACGCACAATCTAGATTTTACGCCGCCACAGCCGAATACGTCCGCTAGAGCCCAACAGATATTTGCGTGGAACGGTCCAGTTGGCAGTGTTTACCGCCAAATAAATATGTCTTGTTCATGTTCACTTGTCGGATAGTGCACAATGCACTTATAATAACGGTATCGGGGCACTTTTGTAGAAAAGAGGGACAGCCGTTTACAAACAGTGTTCCACTTAAAGACAAAGAGGTACTCGCACGCGGCCAGTCCGCAAGCATGTGGGTGGTTTAAAGATCATAGCCATAGTACTTCATTCCCTTGCATTGATATAAATATTGATATCTCACTCAAGGATGGATACCTCACAGCATTTATCCTGCAAAGAATAATCGCTGACCGAAATGAGCTTATCTCCCTATAAAATGAATAAAAAACACTGTTCACAACTGCTGTAATGCAGTTAATTTTTGCTTTTTATGAAAGCCTATATCACTACAAAACTTGCGTTTCTGCTATATATTTAGAAGGCTCTTTGAACGGGCAAATATGGCTTGTTTTCAACCACTTCTTTCTAAATTTAGGTACATTGTAGTACACCGACTTGCACGGTTACGCATAACCACGATATATCATACCAGCAGCGAGACACTAAATGTAATTAAAGACACAATGGGAAGGAGACCTCGAAAATGAAGATCGAGTCTAGCCGAGGTGTTCCTTTTTTTTGAGCTCCCGATAGATGTGCGGGTGGTCGTATTCAAAATGGCTACCAGTTATACCTTGTCTTTGCCACCTAAGATATTTTCTCACGCCGCACCAAGCAACCAATTACCTTTTAGGTCACGAACAAGCATATGCAGAAAAAAATGTCACACGTTTGCCGCAAAGGTGAAGCAATGAACGCGATAGCAACAAAGTGGAAGGTCACACACAGAATCGCAAGGAGATTGAAACGCGTCCCGCGTTTCTCACGCACAAATGACGCACAAAACGTACTCACAGATAAGTATAAACGCGAATAAGCGTCTCAGTTGTCACTTCACTGTGTTTGAAAAGCGCACTTTTTTCGTAAACGGAGACTGTGCAACGATTGCAGTGACCTTTGTGTACCCGATAACTACAACAGAATTGTTCCTGAAAACCCAAGGCCAGCCAAGACGTACGATCCTCCCCACCGTGACATAAGGGCGTGCGTGTGAGCGTCCCCCCCTTCTCTCCACTGCGCAAAGTACGCGCGAGACATGAGCGCGCGCCGCCGCGTCGTGACGATGTGGCGACACGCGCTCATTGTGCCATCTTGGTTGTAATGCTGAAAACACGATAGTTACCCCAGAGATGCCCGTCAGCAGCGATAAGTGGTAGATATAGATAGCTTGTTCTTTGAACGTTGAAGGAGGTACTCCTCTGTGGCTCTGTGATGAACGCCTCGCACTCACAACTGAGAGGTCACAAGTTATATTCCATGTGCCGGAGAGTTTAAGTGGATTATTTTTCGTTCTTGCGTTTATATATATATATATATATATATATATATATATATAGATATACGGTAGAAAAAGAGGTCGACAAACGTGCGAAAAAACACTAGTTTTACTAACGTTTCGGCAGGTGGGCCTGCCTTCGTCGGAGTGAATGGTTACACATGGCACACAGGGCGCATATATAAGCCGCTTCTTTGCGTATCACACGGCTAAGTCATTATCAGTAGTTTAGGAAACAAGATTATATATCACCAAAGGTACGTGGCTATAGTGCATATACAGCTGAAAACACGTATCAATATACAATAGTGAATTGGCACGTATTAGATACCCTACAACTTGTGTGGAATGAAACAGGTCAGCAAAATAACAGAGTGCGCACGCAGTAGCTCACCTAGTCATACGTTCTGCGGGATAATCACAGCCTAAAAACATTCAGTAAGCCTTTAAAAAAGAAAAAGAAAAAGAAGTTTAGAAAGATAAACAAAATCACAAAGCAGGCAGAGCAAAATGAATGCGAGTAACTGGTGAAGCGACAAAGGTGTCACACAGGTCCCGTTAATTAGGGAGGAAATCGCCGGGCTAATTCCAAGGGCCGAAGTATCGGCCCTTGGCCGAGGCGTCGGTTGGCACATTTAGGGAAGAGACGTTGATGGTGAATGTCGGTGAACGGCCGTACACGAGGTAGAAAGGTGAGTAGCCAGTAGTTCTTTGAACAGCGGTGTTATGGGCATACGTCACAAAAGGCAAAGTGGTATCCCAGTTGTCGTGGTTTGGTGTGATGTACATTGACAGCATGTCTGTTAGTGTCCGATGAAATCTCTCTGTCAGCCCATTAGTTTGGGGGTGGTAGGCTGACGTCGTTTTATGTACTATACCACAGGTTGTGAGCAGGGTTTGGATTATGGTGGACAGGAACGTCTTGCCGCGATCACTCAGGAGAACGCGAGGTGCACCGTGACGCAATACAATGGCGTTGAGAAAGAAGTCTGCGACGTTTGAAGCAGAACTTGTGCGTAGTGCAGCAGTCTCTGCGTACCTTGTCAGGTGGTCGACAGCAGTCACAATCCAACGATTACCTGCTGGCGTGATGGGGAGAGGTCCGAGTAGGTCTATGCCAACGATGGCAAAAAGAGTCTCGGGACACGGGATAGGTTGCAGAAGGCCAGCAGGAGACAAAGTTGGTCGCTTCCGCCGTTGACACAGATGGCAAGATGCAACGTACTTGGCCACAAAGGTAGAGATGCCCGGCCCGAAGAAACGGTTTCTGATGCGGCTTTGTGTTTTGTGAAATCCCAAGTGGCCTGCACATGGGTCGTCGTGAAAGGCTTCGAGGACTTGATGACGTAGAGAACGCGGAAGTACTGGAACCCAGCGGTGTCCATCAGTAGTGTAAACGTAACGATGGAGCACATTGTTATCGAGCTTAAATTGCCGTAGTTGTCGGCGCAATCTAGCATTAGGGGTAGGTGACATGCCATTGAGGCGTTGGATAATGCGATTGCAATATGAATCATCACGCTGGCGTGTGGCGAACTCGGTGTAGCGATTTGAAGCCGGCGTTTCGATAACCGCAAGGTGTGATAATGTGAAGGGTGACGCAGTGCCTTGCCCACCAGACGAGCAATCAGCCGACGTACTTGATGATGACAGTGGAAGAGGGCAGCGAGAGAGAGCATCTGCATCTTGGTGTCTTTTGCCAGACTTATAGATGACGTCAAAATCGTACTCTTGCAGGCGGAGCACCCAACGACCGAGGCGACCAGACAAGTTTCTCAGTGTCGATAGCCAGCACAAGGCGTGGTGGTCTGTAATCACTGTGAAGTGGCGTCCGTAAAGATACGGTCGAAATTTTTGTATGGCCCAAACGACAGCGAGGAACTCCTGCTCAGTTATGGAGTAGTTCTGTTCAGCAGCCGTAAGAGCACGACTAGCACACGCTATAACTCTTTCCCATGAAGTGGCATCCCGCTGTAGAAGAACTGCACCAATGCCATGGCCACTCGCGTCGGTGTGCAGACATGTAGACGTCGGTGTGCAGACATGTAGACGTTGGTGTGCAGAAATGGCACAGAACAGGGTCAGACGTTAAAGCATTCTTGAGGGCTTGAAAGGAACACTCGCAGTCGTCGTTCCAAGCGAAAGTTGATCCGGATGTCAGCAGCTTGTGCAGTGGCGACGCGATGGCAGCAAAATGACTAATGAAGCGGCGGAAATAGGATGCCAGGCCCAGAAAACTTCGTAGTTGTTTTTGATTTTCTGGCCGAGGGAAGCGTATCACGACAGCAAGCTTGTCAGGATCCGGACGAACGCCCTCTTTGCTGACAAGGTGGCCCAACACCTTGATGTTCTTGTTGGCGAAATGGCATTTTTTGTGTTTAGCTGAAGTCCAGCACTGGCAATACACGTCAAAACTTCGTCCAAACAATCAAGATGCTGACGAAAAAAAGAGGAGAAAATGACGATGTCATCTAGATAACAGAGACATGTTTTCCATTTTAGGCCGCGTAGAACTGTGTCCATCATGCGTTCAAACGAGGCAGGAGCATTACATAAACCGAATGGCATGACGTTGAATTCGTACAGCCCGTCTGGTGTTGCAAAGGCCGTTTTTTTCTTTGTCCGCTTCGTGCATAGGTATTTGCTAATAACCAGACCGTAAATCGAGGCTGGAGAAAAATTCAGCGCATTGCAGCGAGTCAAGTGCGTCGTCGACTCGTGGCATCGGGTAGACGTCTTTGCGCGTGATCTTATTAAGTGCTCGATAATCGACGCAGAATCGCACCGAACCATCCTTCTTTCGGACTAGCACCACAGGTGATGACCACGAGCTGGACGAAGGCCGGATAACATCTCGTTGAAGCATATCAGCAACGTTGTCCTCCATGATTTTCCGCTCTGCGGACGACACTCGATATGGGCGGCGGCGTACGATTGTATTGCCTTCAGTTTCAATTCGATGCACGGCGACAGAAGTGCAACCCAGAAGCTTGGAATATACATCAAATGAAGCGCTGTGT